GCCTTTTTCATTTTGGACGGCTTTATGCAACCAACGGTAATTTATTCGCCCCAATATGGTAATTACGTGCCTTATTTGATTTTTCGTATCAAGACGTCTTCTTATATCGTACCCCTAATGAAGATATTGTTAACTTCCGTTTTATTATAATATCTTTTTTCTAAAAGCTATAATATATAAACATATTATATTATCGTTGATTCTATAGCATACTTTCACGGGATTCGCATGATGTCCCCGGGATGATATAAAGTGATCCTTCTCACTTGTCCAACATTGATGTACTACATTGTACAATGTAGATACATATATACGAGTATATATAAAATAAACTCAAGCATCCGTTAGTCTATTGCTAGGACAAACAAGGAACGAAATTTTGCATTTATAATATAAAGTAGGAATAATTGGCTGACCTATACATTTTTTGTCCAAAGTGTATGTACATACTTCCAAACTCTTTTTGTACACACCACAGTTGAGACATTTTCAAAAATAACGAAATAGTTTCTTTCCAATTACGTGAAGAATTTCAGCAGCTGCACATTTTGCCTTAAATACCTCGTCCTAATGGCTTCATTGTAAATCGCTGTCAACTTTTTCATCGTATTTAAGTTATGACGGGAATCAACTTGCCCATTTAATTGGTCACGATAAGTACACATTGGTATTTCGGTCAAACCTTATCAATAAATATCTTTTTTACTTCCACACATTTCTGCTGAAGACAATTATCATAAGCTAACATAAAAAATTATAGTACCTACCAACAATAATATTAAATATTATTTTTAAAAAACATATATATTTTTAGCCTATTTCTAAACATATTTCTATAATATGTGTAAAAATAAATATTTTAATATAATATTTATTACATTACAACATCATGACATTTTAATGCATAAACCGTATAATAATGAATTGTTTACCCGGACCTCAGGTGAACGATTATTTTTAATCTGTGCGTCAGGTTTCTTAGCCATTGGATGGAATGCCCTATAAACTAGAGACCTACTGAACTATCCAGGTGATGCGTGATATAATAAACAAGGTTAACTACCACATGAAAAAGTTAATGCGTTAAAATCAATTGAAAAATATTAAATTTTTCTTACTTTTCGTTAATATTTGTGTAATATTGTTACATTGAATGAATTTTTACGATAATTTTTAATAGTTCCAGAAAATCCCCTTCAAATGAACAAATTTTACTTTTTAAATAAACTTTTTGAATTTTTCGGTGGTTTAGTTTGGTTTTTGGTTTTGAATGCTTTACAACAACCATGGTCACCAAAGAGACAAGGTTTTAGAAGTCTCAAAGTTTCATCATTATATAGTGACTCTCACTCTAGTCATTATAGAAAAATCCGAAAAGATAGTTTCATTTAAATTGTCATAGATTCGTGTAAATCTAAGAAAGTAATATTTACTTTATAATAGTGTAAAAACAGGAAAGAAATTTCTATAATAAGCCTACATGCGATAACTGCATCTGATTAACATACTGTTTTAATATTAAACGAATAAAAATCCTACATATCTATCTATACATACCTACATATAATAAAACAATAACTTAACGTAATCTGTGCATGACATATTTTTTAAAACTGTAATGTATTGGTACAGAATATAGACCCCAAAACAAGAGTGTTTTTTGTACTTCTCTGTACGCCTGTTTGTCTGTTTGTGTGTTCGCACTTCATGCAGAAAGTACTGGACCAATTTTAATTACATTTTGTGAAGTGATATTGATAACTTATTACTCGGGTCAACAATTAGGATACTTTTTACTACAATAAAATCTTTCTTTCACACAGGAAAACACAATAACTGACTTAATAAGGCCTACAGAAAAATCTAAAATAGCATAAGTTTTTCTCCTAAAGTACACTCGCAATAACCATTCATATCTATTTAAAACGTACCTAGGGACGCACCCGAGCGAAGCGAGGGTAAGTCGCTAGTTTAAAATATACAAAGTATTATGAGAATCGAATATTTTTTTATATAACTTTTAATAAATCTTGATTATAATTTTAAAATCTATAAGATAAGCATACGTATAACTATTAAATGATTAATAGCATTTAGAACCATCGCACTTAACCATACACAAAGCTACACAACCATGCAGAACAAATCGATAATATGCACTTGCGGCGAACATAACGTGTAAACAACACAATATATATAGTCTATATAAAAATATGTACTATCTTAGGCGAGTCTGAAGACTATGAAATAAGGCTTTAAGCTATAAGTACAGGTGTCGCATTTAAAATTCCTGGGAACTATGAAGGTATTTTCCATCGAGGTGTAAGTTCTTTAAAATTTTATAGGTTATTTGAATTATTTTGTTGCATATTTAATTTAGCTGATATGCTAAATGTAAATGTGTTTGTTGGTTTATCCTTTTTTAGCAAATGTGGCTCAATCACAGATCCAAATATCTACATTTTATCCCGATACCAATTGTTAATTTTTTGCAATGTTTAGTTTTTAACTAAAAAAGTATACTGACTTCTAAATTACTTTAAAACTAATTATTCCATTTATGAGACTCATATATACTTAAATTTGTATCTTAAAATGTATACAGATCACCCTTAGAAACCTTTTTTTTGCCCTTTGACATGAGAAGAAACTTTGATGTAATCGCTAGTAAGTAGTCTAATGCTATAAACGCCACACCCTGAGAAGTAATTATTTTTAAATAATTCAAAATGGCAGTACGTACAACTTTCGGTGCAATAGATGTTTTTATTTATCTCGTGTGCACTGGACCTTTAATATATTCGTAATCCCATTAATATTATAAATGCGAATTTGGATGGATGTTTGTTACATACACAATTACGCCAGAATGACTCAACGGATCTCTCATCTCAACGGAACTGGATGTAATTTGGCACAGGGATAGATTATAGTATGGAATAGCACATAGGTTACTTTTTGTCCCGGAAAAATGTGAGGTTCCTGTGGGATAGATTTGTTTTTGTTCTTTACTAGGGACGAACCCGAGCGAACCGAGGGTAACTAGCTAGTTTGTATATATTGAATTAATAATAATAATAATATAGTATATATTGAATTAATTATAATTAATTAATATGAACAAATTAATTCTTTGACTTCCATTGTATCACATATAATTACGTTACAAATATAACAATCTTAATTTTAATAGCTTTTAAACATTCCACCGTTTAAAAAACAAATAAAAGTAACTTAAAATGTCTTAATTGCAAGGTCAGAATCTCAACCCTTCGTTACTAAAATGCATGCCAATTTTAACCCGTGACTTAAGCACAGGCTGTCCCTTAATAGCCTTTAGTATATCAGACATCATATAGAAAGAACAAATGTATTTTGCACCTTACGATTGAATAATAAAGTTGCTTTTTATTTGAACTGACTTAGAAAATAAATGGTAGCAGTCGTGAGTTCAAATCCTAATTAACACCTCGGTGTATAGATAAATTGCACCGATAGTGTACGGATGTGGCGTTTGCCGGGTTTTTGTATATTTACGGTCCTTATGGCATTTAAAGATTCTCTATAAGAATAGATTATGGTGTGTACTCTACCTTTACCATTATTACAAATGTGAGTGTCATTTAGAGAACATCTTTCTGCTATAGCAATAGATTAATGTTATTTTTTGCCTTGAAATAGTTATTGGTAATATAAAGACTACTTTTTGTCCTAGTATATATTCAGCCCTTTTTTAATATCCCACAACTGGGCACAGGCCTCCCTTCAATACAAGGGGGATCAGGCCATAGTCCAACACGCTGGCCAAGTGCGGGTTGGTGAACTTCACATGTCTTTCAAAAACTTGCTAGGTTTTCTTAGATATGCAGGTTTCTTCACGATGTTTTCCTTCACCGTAAGGCAAGTGATAATCATGTTACAAATGATTCGCACATGAAAATATCAGAAGTGCAAGATCTAGGATTTGTACCCGCTTCACTCGGTTTCCCAAGCGAGCGCGTTACCAATGCGCTACCACTGCCTACTGGATATTTCTTGAAATTCTTTGCTCTAAAGTCTAAATAGAAATTTGGGATATACGACACCCATGATAAATCATGTTTTTTACACTATAGGATCTCAGTTCGTATTGCTAATAAAACACAATAAAGAATTCAAAGTGCAAAATGCAAGACGCAGATGATCACTTCATTTTATTACATCGTCGTTATCTTTTCAGTGTAGTGTTTCATCGTCAATATTATCATCACAGTATAAGGTTTCTAGATTGCAAGAACTCTTAGAAACTGTTTCTAGATTGTAGGGACTAAGTAATACAGTTCTAACTTTTGTTTTATTACTAGTTATAGTTGTGTGTCTGTGTAATATTCATCGGTAATTGTTGGTTCGATTTTGACACCACGTAAAGACAAAATTTAGAACAGATAGTACTGGTCCAAACGTTATAAGTCTTGATATATACGGAAAATGTAGAGCTTAAAAAGGGTTGAGTTTCTCTAACTTTAAACTAGGGAAAACGCATCGTGTTAGTTTTAGTATCAAAACTTTTAATTTAAAGTATATATATTTTATTTCTTTTGGAACCTATAATTTTAATGCACTCGTGTGGGAGTAACCGAATACCGAATGATAAGATATCTGGTAACATAAATTGTATGACTTGCCCTTTTTCATCGGTACTTGATTTATACACTTAAGTCAGTTTTAGATGTATCTAATGTTAAGGAAGAACCTCTATATTTATGTGAAATTTTGTTTACCTATCTATATAATATATAAAAAAAATAACTGTCTCCAATTTTTTTATTGACAGCACTAAAGCTCTATAGATACCAATAAAAAAAAAATCAGAGGTGAAAATAGATACTGAACTGTTTTATTTTTGCCCATTTACATATACATTATTATTTACTCAGAACGAATTAATGTACTCGTATAAATATCTAGCTAACGTCTAACTTTCTATGAGTTATGTTTTGTGTCAAATAAATAATTGTTACCTCGTAAAGTATTAGCTCCATATAGCGGATGGTCGTAGGGCACGGGGCGATAGGCGGGGTGTAGGGCGGCGAGGTAGCTCAGCTCACTGGTCGCACCAGCCGCCGCCGCTGCTGCTGCCGCTAATCTGTACCAAAAAATGTGGTTAATTCCTTATTTACTCATTATTTTAAAGTATTCTTTAAAATTTTCTTCTGGTCTGTAGCTAAAGTATTGCTTTATCAAGTATAATAATGCTGTAGACGTGTAAATCGCTAAAAACTTAAGAATTATCATTTAAAGCGATCATGAATTTTAAATTATATTAATCAAGACATTTGGTTGCCAATAAAAAGCAGATTTACATAAGATATCTGCAAGATTGGTTAATTTTCACCAAAATCAGTAATTTAATATTTTAATTTCACCGCTGATCATGAGATTTAGGGTTTTAAATTGCTATAATTTATTCTATTACCCTCATGCATAATCATGAATTGGTATCCAACGATAAACGCCTGGAATTCGGGTTCGAAAGCACCTTCTAACCACTAGGAACAATTTGACAAGTCATAAAACTTCTGCGACACAAAAGACACCAACCAAAAAAGCACCTGCCCTATTCAAGGTATTCAGCCCATCGCTTCAAGGTCTAACCGTTGGGTTCCAAAAAACTAATGAAACACGACTTTGGCATCGATTTCGGTTTTCAAACACATGTAAAATTTAGGCCATTTATTGTTTAAAATTTAAAAACTATTAATATCACAAACTATTTTGTGTGAATCGCTCAGATAAAATATAATTTAATTGTTTCAAATTTAAAAAATTGTTAACATTAATTACCATAAAGGTCTCGTCTAACATCAATGTCCATCAAGGAACCCTGAAATGCGGTAGAAGGTATCTGTTATGTCTGGACATTCAATAGGGCAATAAGCGACGTCTGAGCGAAATTTTTGCTACACATTAGTAGTCCCAGAAAAAATGATGAAATTTTGCACGTTCATTTGCGCGTAGTTTTTAATTTTCTGCATTCGTATCTTTACACATAAAACCCGGTGTTTGTTATTCTTATCCTAAATGACTTGAACGATTTTGATGATTTTTTTGTGGATGGTCATTACCTATAGTTGAACTTAGGTGGTGTTATTATCGTGATCCATTTTTTTCTGTGTCTATGTCCACTAGTATACATGGACGTAAGGATATAAACAATATTATTAGATAGCCTATAAATAAAGCAAGCACTAAGCAATTTATAATCAGGTCTGTGATTTTATTAACTTTTCATACCACATAATAAAATAAGGCAACATTATGATTGCAAGACATGAGTCATAACATAGACAAACAATATCAAAACATTGCCCCTTTCCCACGTTTACTTAAAAAAACAAATCGAATAAAGCGGCGATAGCAAATAGCGAAAGGCGAATAAAAGCACAATAGTGCACGCGCAATGCGCTCAGTAATAAAATTATTAAACAAATCAACCTCATAACATAATAATGCGGCAAGAAAATTGTCGGGTGGGCTCGAAATAAAGAAATTATCCAACTTACTGCCCAGACGATTGCGCTCTTCGAACAAAGACGTAGCATTGAGAAAGGAAAAAAAATATATGGCCGCTAACAAAATAAAATAAAACAAGTGCAAGAACACGCGCGCCTGAGCACGTCGTGACGTCTTCATGTAGCCTGTCTTCCTCATCCTCGGGATTGGCCCTATCGCCTCCACAGGTGTGAGAGGGACGACACTAAGTAAACACTTCCTACTAATAGGAAGAAAGTTTAAAAACAGTGCTGGACGTGGAACAAGTTTTACAGATTTCGCGCAGACGACCTCTTTTGGATTTTGATGTTTTATTTAGGGTCATTCGAAAAGTATAAGTTACTCGACATAATTGAACGCTGACAAGACATTGAAAAATTAAAAAGATTTATAAAGATATGGGCTTAAAGATATTTTAAAGTATCCACTTATGTTAAAGTTTTTCGACTAAATTGATCACTACAGTCGAAAGATCAATAATAACAAGATATCTACAATCTACATCGATGATAACGAGTTTGATCCCCGTACATGGCAAATATCTAACTCAACAAATCCGACTAAATGCTGAGATCTTATATTTCTTAAGACAATAATCACTACGATTTAATATTTTTACTTTTTAACATTTATTTTTTTGTTATAATATATTTAAATAAGGCATTTATTTTGATGGCTATTTGAAAACTCCTGCATCTTATGCAATTTGCCTTCATTACGCAATATTAGCGTTTTAAAAAGTTTTATAACTAAAATTATAAGCAATAAAATACGATTAGAGTTGCAGGACTCAGTTATTTATTTTATTGTTACACTAATTATGATTGTAATCTATCGAGAGTATGTTGAAGCAATAACTGTAGATGAGTTTGTACATTAAGTATTTTATTGTATTCATTTTTTGCAAATACATATAACTAGCGGCTCACCCTCGCTTCGCTCGGGTTCATCTTTAGGTACGTTTTAACGGTTAGTATGGAATAGGTAGACTATATATTATATTACTGATCCGCTCCCTTGGGTAGTAGTATGATGATATATAGCCTATAGCCTTCCTCAATAAACGGGCTATCTAATGCAATAAGATTTTTTCAAATCGGATTAGTAGTTCCTGATAAGAGCGTTTAAACAAACAAACTCTGCCTCTTTATAATATTACTATAGACAAAATAAATTAATATAGTACATTAAAAATTGAGTATATATTTTAAATTTAGATAGAAATTAATAATTATACTTTCTATTTATTACATGCTATGATAATGTTAAATGCATGCTTATTTATATATTAATATTTATAATTCTATCTACCTGTCTGTTACGTTTTTACATCTAAACCGCTGAACCAATTTTGATTAATTTTGCATGGAACTTTATGTCACTAAAATAAAACTTGAGGGGTGTGAAATGGAACTATAGTTCCTAGGGTTTTCCCGCTAGAGATATAAATAAGTACATATTTTTAAATATGAATTATATATTCTAAAATATTGTAATATAAATAGATAATAAAGAGTGATATTTTATAATGAAAATCAAGCGAATGTGGGAGTATTATAAATATTATATGTAAATATTTTATTAGTTTAATCAAAGCCGTGTTCACTATAAATGCGAATCCATTACCACTAAGCCATTAGTGTCAAAATAATAAAAAATCTATTTATAACCAACCTAACCTAACTCTTTCCGTCAGCTCATCGGGTGTCGCAGCGTGACAAACCCGTACAGCCACTATCTCCATCAGGTTATTGATGACACTGTACAATCTGATAGTGGCCACACGCGATTTTACATGCATGTACGTGTTAAATAGAGATATACTACGTGTTTGTTGTATGACTAATAAAATAGACTTGAATGTTATTTTCTAATACTTAATTTTATATACGACAAGCATTTCGCCTTTCCTTTGCTCTAGATTGAAGATTTAAAAAAAAAAAAAAAACAATATTTTAATACACAAATTTTGACAGCGGAAAAAGATCTCCGTCATGAAAATATTTGTTTTTTTATCCTTAAAGTTATAAACTTGAACAGGCACTAATTAAAAAAAAATATCCGGTAGATTTGATAAATAGCCTATGTTTTACTCCAGGTTATAGTCTATCTGTATAGTATATTTCATTCAACTCTATTCAGCTGTTTCTACTTGAAAAAGTAACAAACATACACACACAGACGGGTACAAACTTTTGCAATTATAATTATTTTAGTATTCTAATTTATTGAGCGATATTTATTTTGACGACACGTTTGGCTCAGTTTGTAGTGATCATACTTGCTGTGCCAGCGGTTGAGGGTTCGAGTCCCGCTGGGGGCATTCATTTTGCGTGATGAGCACGAATGTTTGTACTTCAGTCATGGGTATTTATAATTATAATATATATGTATTTAAAAGTTATATATGTGTAGCGTATTAACTATCTGGTATCCATAACACAGGCCTCGTAGCTTACCAGGGAACTAGACGGTGCTGTGTGTTAATGTCCCAACTAAAAAAAATAATTACTGATTTTAGAATCAGGCTACGACTCTTCTGATCGAAGCAATTAATATGAATGAACTACACGATCAAAGCCGCGGGCAAAAGCTACTTTTATATACATACAAAAGTATAAAATTCCTTAAATTTAATATTATTTTAACAATAATATAAAGGAGTATAAATTTTCATGTGTTAACGTAAGAAGTTTATGTCTTCATAATATTCACGCCTCATTTGAATAAAATCGTACTCCCGTTTGTAAGGATTTTCTTGACAAATAATGCCAAAGCTTAATTCTCAGGTCCTTAACATACGGACAAGATTTATGACGGTTTAAAATACCGAATACCTTTTCTCGTTCTTTTAAAGGATTAAAGCAGTTCGGAACCACCATTCTTAAGTTTTTCTATAACATTTAAGTATTTTAACTGAACAGTGATTAATCTATACATAATATAAAATTCTGAGACCAATCTGTACATTAAAAGTTTTTTTGGAAAATTTTATTGAATTATCATTATTATCGATCGGTACAGAGGTCGAATCTGTTTTCAGAATTTTTGTCTGCCTGTTTGTCTGGGAACGCATCCCGAAAAAACCACTGGACAGATTTTGATGAAATTTGGTATGATGATAGCTGGTTATCCGGGCCAACATATAGGATACTTTTTTCTGCGGAAAAATATCTCATCTCTGAGAAATCTATACTAAACGTCAAAGCGTAACTAGAAACGAACCCGAGCGGAGTGAGGGAAAGTCGCTAGTTTTTTAATAATATATTATTTAACCATTGAATTAAATCTTCTTGAAATATGAAGATTTAACTTTTTTTATATTATGAATTTTCTATAATAAACAAAATCAAAATTAATGCTCTAAATACAAGCTTTACAAGTTCTAAGTATGTTTTAATAACTATCCTACTTTAAGCTGAGCTATTATTATTACACTATGTACATATATATTTATTACGTAACTTCTGCAATTATTATCTTTTTTATCTGTTCTTGCTATTTATGTACTAAAATCTCAATAAGTCTTTAAATAAATACGAAAATATTAAATATTATAGTAAATAATAAAAGTTTTCAAACCTATTAGCTGAG